ATTATATATAAACTAAGCAAAAGTGCATTGCACGTTGCTTAAACCTAGTATATATATATATAGTTAAATGTCTTGTGAAATAGAAAACATACGTGTAGCACTCACTAATAATATAGTTTTTTTTTTTTTTAAATAAACGTAGTCTGTATGAAAAATACCACAAAAAACGATCAGCTCGCTATGGTGGGGACACGCCATGATTAGATGAAAATAAATTAGTGGGATAAAAAGACCAAAACCGAAATGATCAAAGCCTAACAAAACTCGGATGAGTCGCCTCACGGGTGATCTACCCTAATAGACACGCCGTGTTGAGTTTGATTGCTTAAAAAATCAAACCTAGTCAAATGCAAACTCGCAGCATAAAAATTGATAAGCAAGAAGAGCTTCCTGTGGTTTTGTTTGCTTCATCTTTGTATCAAGTGCGAATAAGAAATTGCAAGTAATGCTGAAACCACTGGTGCATACACCATCAAAACACAGTTCAAATAGCAATTTTAAGACTCTAATGCACAAGGATGTGATCTTATCACGCTAATACAGATTTTTCTACATCAAGCAAGTCATGCTCCTCAGCTCCACCACATGTATTCAAGTCCAGCTTCCTTTCCACAGTTTGCTGGTTCTCTGACTAACTAAACATACTTCCCTGATAATTGACAACCAAAGCTATGCAACTACTAAAATATTAGAATCTATCACTATTTATCTGTTACATGTCAACAATTTTTTTGATGTATTAATTAGAATGCAAGTGAATTAAAAGATTCATGAATAAGGTTTGACTTGGCTAAAAGGCTTGGTCATGGTCAATGATCTATTAAATAAGTTTGTACAGGAAAGTCTGCAAAATGAGGACAGAAAACCACCGGAAAAATTCGTAGCAGAAAATTAGGCTACATATTGAAGAATGGCATATCATCACAGAACAGAAAAGCTTCAATCGGACTGCTTCACATAAAGTACACTGCATTCATATCCTTGACTAGCATCAAGCTGCCTTTCTCGTGCATTATCTGTAGAGAGATGGAAATTTTTTATTTTGCTATTAGTTGTGGTCTAAGCCACACAACTCTTTTAACTTCAAACTCCCAAAGGGAAGCCTCTTACTGACAAACCTCTTAAATACTCATCTAAAAAGATGAATGAAAGTGTTACTTAGTAAATTTCAACATTACCTCCAGAAGGGACATAATCTCTGCTGCTGAGTAAGGCACAGGTTCCCCACGGTTAACAACCCCCTCAATGTCAGCAATTGACATTTGTTCTATATGTTGTGCATGCCTATACCTCCCCAATGTAGCCTTGAATGCTTCCAATCTTCAAGCAAAATGAAAGCATTAAACCAACATAAAACATTAGACCCCAACTTGGCAGCAAGATAACATTGTATTAGAGATATTTAAAGATAAAAATTTTGATGATACTTGTAGTGTATGAGCAACAAACCTCTCTGGGGATATATCGACTTCGCTTGCAGGCGGTGCATCCACATCCATGGCTTCCGTTTCACTTGCCAAAGTAATAAAAAGAAGTAATATCAACATAATCACATTGATAAAACAATGATCATCAAAGAAACCAAGCAAACAGCCTAATACATAATAATAGTAGTCTACCAACCATCTCAAACACAGCCTCCTTGAATATAAATTCCTATATTCTTTGACAGGTCGTAAAAAGATTTATATAGGACAGGAAAAGAATTCAAGAAAAGGGAAAACAGAATGAAGCAGATAATAAAACACGCACAAAGATGAAACTTGTACTTAGTGCTTGTTTGGATTTGTATATAAGTTAATGAAGCTATAATGTGATAAAAAATTAGTGGATGAGTCGGTAGTTGTGTGTCCTAGAGTGATTAAAATTAAAGTTTGACTTTGACCATTAAATTATAATATGATTGTAATCAAATACAAACAAGCACTTAGCTTGATGATATGCAAGAAGTTTGATGAATCGATCTTTCATACATCCACGAGACAATAAATCGGTCCCTATTTGTTACATTCATTTCAACGAGCACAATCTCATTAAAAATATCTGTAGTGCCAGCAAAGAGAAAACATTTTTTGCTCTCAGATAATACTAATTGATTGTAATAACTTTCCCAGAAACCATACTAGAAATCATGTTGCTAAGAAATTCCCTCATTTAACAGTAGATAGTAGATGATTAATTTCACTTACCCTCTAGCAGTAGTAGAACCTCCGTTGGTAGGTCCATTCCTACCACCACTATGACCTGTATTGTTGTCAGTGGCATCATGGTCTATTTCACGTTCCCGCTCCATGTCCCTCTGCCTTTCTTGCTCTCGCTCCTCCATATCATTTAGCTCTTGATGATATATAGCAAAGTTTAGAACTTGAAGAGCAGCTTCAACATCAGACTTCAAAACCTTCTCAATTCAGTTCATGAGACATTATTTTTCAACAGCAAAACAGGGTTTACACTTGAAAACCATCAAAACCATGCTGAGAGGTACGTACATAGTTTTCAATAAACTGGTGGATACTTTCATTAGCGAATGAAGACCATACACAAGTTTAAATTATTAAATTGATTATTCAATTTTAGGCAAATCATGCCTGATGCCACTTTGCTACTTCCAAATGGATAATGAACCGAAAATAAACATTACCTGTCTCCTAAGCCTCAGCTTGGCATGGGCAGTTGATAGACGTATTATTGTTTCTAATGTTCTAGCAGTAATTGGCAGTGTTCCTCCTCCAGTCTAATAAATGATCAGATAAGATAATTTGTAAATGATAGCAATAGCTTAAAACAGCCAAATATAAATTTCAGCTAATATGACCAGTAGAAACCAACCTTTGCATTTGAACTCGCGTTTCTTAGATCTGCATATGTAATTGCAATGTGCTCTGAAGCCTAGAGAGGATGATTTGTATAAGATAAAATCAGGGGGGAGCCATAACAAGGTGATTTGAGAATCTCAAGGAATGAATGAAGTTCCACTAACTACATGCCATCACTAGCGTAGGACAGGCTTTCCAAATTTTAAATTTCACAGAACGGATCAAATGAATCTCAGTTTGAACAAACATGTAGTAGTTATGCCTTTTGCGGATTGGTATTTAAAGAAGCATCACCTCATCAGTAAGCTCAGGCTGAATCCTGTTTTTTGCATAATGAATGTACTTCTTAAGAAAATTGATGGTGAGGGTATCACGCTTACGACCTCTGTCAGATTTTCTCCCATGTAGCATTCGATTGTACTTGACAAAGATGGTCGAACCTGTCTCGGCTTCATTTTCTTGTTCATATCTTGAATTGCCATCTAAAATTGAGCTGCCTAAAATATACAGCATTTTGCTTACGGAATGTCAAATAATTTAGAACATCGTCTAAATTTCAATCAAAAACTAAAGCTGCATACCTCCATCTACCACTGAACGAAATCGGTGCATACGCAACACGTGTTCAGAAATTTGACGATCAATCCCAGGATCCATTTGATCCAAAACAATGAACAATAAATCAAAACGAGAAAGCAAAGAGTCTGGAAGTCCAATGTTCTTTGTCGGAGTTAACGAACGGTCATACTGTACACATGAAGCAGAAGACAAATTAAATGAAATATAAGATGCAAGTTAACGTTCCTTCTTCCCCATATGCTTTGAGGGACTTACAGTTCCATAAATTGGATTTGCAGCTGCTACTACACTGCACCGAGCATTCAAGGATGCGTGAATACCAGCTTTGGCAATTGTTACAGTCTGTTGTTCCATCACTTCATGTATTGCAACCCGATCTTGATCATTCATTTTGTCAAACTCATCAATACAAACAATGCCTCGATCAGCAAGAACCATGGCTCCAGCTTCTAATCTTCTTTCCCCTAATATCAAGAATAAAAATCTCATAAGTAATCACCAAATAAAGCCTGCATTTTTCTGCGAATATCCTACCTGTTTCTTGGTCAGAAGTGACTGCAGCTGTCAAACCAACTCCGGAAGAACCCCGACCAGTTGTTGAGATGGCTAGAGGAGCAATGTTCATGATAGCTCTCAGCAACTGGGATTTGGCAACAGAAGGATCACCAACCATCATCATGTTTATATCACTATAATCAACAAGATTTATTTGTGAGGACTCAACCAAATATGTTATATGAGGTTTATGCAAATATGTCTAGCATGTAGAAACATGAGAATAAATAAAGCGGGAAAAGACATTCTTACAACTATGCATAAAAAATTTGGGATATAATTACACAGTGCTTGTTCTAGCCAATTCAAGAACTAGTATTACCCCCGCAAGTGAGTTCCATTTTTCAAGTTCTTTTCGGTTCCTCCAAGCATCAATAGAATCACTGCTTTCTTTATCCATAGATGCCCATATATAGAAGGTGCAAGTGAATTAGCAAGCACATCAAATACATCATCTCTTTCAGAGATCTTTCTAATGTTTTTCATGTCGTCACTTGAATACTGTAAGTTGTGTGCCATTTTGTTGAGAAGAGAGACATTATTGGCTATGAGGACAGTCCTACAAAATTGGTAATCAAGATTTTTTAAGTATAATTAATAAAACAATGGTGAAATAAATGATTACAGACTATTGTTTATACACATAGTGACCTGAATACTCCATTCACACTACCCTTGCTTTTTCCAGGAAGGGCTTTGTAAATGCCAACAATTGCCACACGGTCTCCAGGCTTACATGAATCCACCAAGTCATCTTCTACAATGACATCCACCGTTCTTGGAAGTTGACCAGGAGCAGCATTCTCTGGCACTTCTTGCATTGATAATGTCTGGTGGTCCTTATAAGTACATAGCCCGAACTCAGTCACTAACAAGTTGCCATTCTCATCCTGAACATATTAATGCCATAAAGAGTTCCCTTTTGTCAGAAATCAGAAAGGATGTGTACAGGGGAAGGGGGAAAGAAAAGACAACCGTGGAGGTTACCCGTGTTGGATACACTGAACCAGTTGGCAAGCCCATGTTGGATGTAATGTCTCTGTATTCGCGAAGTGTGAATTTTTCTGTAGCGGGGCAGAAGTGGACACTCTTAACAACCTTTGGCCTTACAAGAGAACCTAAACATGGAACAGTAGGCACATAAGATGTGTCCAAACAACATAAAATTGCCTCTTTAAAAATGATTAAGCTAGCATAAGTGCAACTTCTATTTCACCTCATATGCCTAGTACAGTCATTCAAAAGGTAAAGGGGATCTCTGTTATCAGAGAAGGATCTGGGAAGTGCACAATAAAAGATAAAACATAACCATCTGCATAGCAGCATATTTCAGTATGAAAAAATAATTAATCAGCTTCATAACAGCGTCTGTTACTCTAAAGCTTGATCCCAGCTACAAGAATTTGCTTTCCTGCAACTTGATATTTAGTGTTTCTAGTCAATTGCAGTAAAAGTACACATTAAGACCATTGAAAAGATGTAGCAAAAGCCATAATAATGATAATGGCATTCTACAGGGCTAAAGCTGTAACAGACACCATGCCAATGCAAGGTTAGAACACAAGCACCAAAAGAAATGTAAATGCAGCAAGTAGATATACCAGTTTAAATAACTTAAAAACAAGAAAATAATAAGTAATCATTTTCAGAGTTCAAAAATATATATTTTATGAACCGCCTCAAGTAAAAACCACAATTCTTTCACCAATTCACCTCCTTCATCCTAACATTACTAAGAACCTCCTGTTGAACTTGATACTGAACCATAAGTGATGCCGAAGATTTCCAGGCAGAGAAAGTGAGTAACTAGGGCATACGCGGAAACTGAAGTCTACGAGCGTTTGACAATGATTCTGGATCAATTATTCGTGATTTGTATCAAATATATTCTGATGTTACTAACTTTACTTGGCATTGCCTTGTCAAGATGAAGAATATTATGGACCCGCCATTGGCTAACACTGAAAACACAGTGCACCGTTCGCTTTAAGGAAAACATAATGCATCAGAGTCTTTCTACCTGGGTCTGATGTTAAAGACCGGCATCTAAATTTCTTTAGTTTTCAAACAACTTGAAGCAATAATAATTAACCCCACTGGTGATGAAGCAGTTTAAAACCCATTGCCCAACTCCAACATACAGAATTCAGAAATTTCCATCTACGCTACCTAAAGAAAGAATCAAGCACAAAATACAGCACATATTTGTATACAATTGAATGAAATGAGCATGAGATTTTCAAGTGCAAACGAAAAGTACATTTAGTAACAATTCCCTCCACGCAGACCATGGAACCAATAAACCCCGACAAGAGTTCTCTGGGGGTTACCCTCCGCGAAACAAATGGACCCTCTAACCCGACCAGGATTTGCTCCCCTTCCTTCAGGTACTTAGCATTCATACCCCGGACCAAATCGGTCACAGCATCACAAAGAGGCTGCATATATTCGCTCGGGTTCTGCAGAAGCCTACCAATTTTAACAAAAAGCACAGGAAAACAACTTAAATCATTAAAAATTGGGAATTCCTTGATTAAATCATGAGCGGTATTACCTATGTATTTTAAACATATAAACATATACGTGTATATGCGTACATACCTACGAGCCAGATCGGTGCCTTCTCTGAAGTGGTAGAAATGAGCAAGATTGATGATACACCGGCGGCGATTTTGAGCGAACATTTTGTCAAATGACTTTTTCAGCTCTATGTTTAGTTCCTGGAAATCAATTAACAAGTTTTTACTTGCTTTTACGAAAACAAAGATTTCATTTACAGAAATTATGAATTTTTGAGTCTTACAGTTTGTTCGAAGAACTTAAGGAAAGTTCGCTTGTGCGTGGTCCTGACTTCGTCACTCAGATCCATGGCTTCTTCGCCTCTGAGTCACTGTGTGAGAATGTATGTGTGAATTGATTTTGAGAGAGGTAGAGTGAGAGGAATTTTTCTGTATTTTGCATCTAGGGCTTTGAGACTTGGCGGCAAACAAACACGGAAAAGGGGTTCATTTTGGCGGGAACGGAGGCGCGTTTGGACTCGGGGACTGATCTGTGCTGTGCAACGAGGACTGCAGTCAAAACATAGACTGACCCCTTTTTTTTTTTAAGGAAATTGCTATTTGTACGAATCTCGGTTGACAACAACTCACACATGAATTTTTATTTTTATTTTTTAATTGTTTGAACATGCGTACCCCACACACATGTGAGAAGTTGTCAACCTCGATTGTCCAAATAACATTTTTCCTTTTTTAAAATTCATTTTCAATAATACATTATTTTAATAAAATAAATTTTAAATGTAAATTCAAAATTTTTTCTACTTTCTAATCACGTATTTTTCAAGAAAATTACTATGACAATTTATTTTTTACATACAAAGGAACTCAAACATATCCTATAATCACATCTATTCCTTTGGCAATTCAGAAGAGGAGCTTCCGAACTGATATACTTTTTGATGAAATTTTTAAGAGATTATGCTACATGTACAAAGTGATTCATCGTGTACACGTCTAGGGAGACATTTGTGTACTTGGTATTATTCAAGTTAGAAATTATGACCTGACCAAGATCAAGGAAACACTTTCTATCTTGGTCAATGTTGCCTCCAGAGCACTTAGGTGAAATATCCCGTACAAGTAGCTTTACCCATTTTTAAAATTCCTTTCTTCCATGATTAAAAAATCTCTTCAATTATAAGTAATCTTTTATCAAAACTAATAAAAAATTATCTTAATCGAGTTAATATTTTGATGTTATGCATGAGGGTGGGCATCGGTTAGGATGGGTCGATTTTTGTCTAAATTTAAACTCAATCAAATACGATCGGTTTGATTATAATTTAATCGAACACAACCC